GAGCTGCCAAAAGAAGTTTCAACATTTGAAGGCCATCCTGAGCCATGGGAACAATGGAGAGGACTCACTGTGTGACTCTAGTCTGTCTTCCTTGGCCCTGAGAGGAGATACCGCTTCCTCTTCTCTTAGTTCTGTACAGCTCAGCCTGACCTTGACGAAGGTTGTTAGAATTGTATCAGGTTAGTATAAAATCTGTTCATTACTAAGCTGATCAGATCCCATTTCCTAACTTGTTGTCATTGGATACTTCACATTTAGTTTACTCTGAAATACACATTCAAAAAAGGAAAGACAAAGTCTTTTTGGATGCTATGTTTCAGTGTGTTTTGTGATCTTAATGGTTTTTGCTAATTTTAAAAAGCAGTGAGTTGGTGGTAGGGAATAGCTGTTCTCACTGAATGTGTCTTTTAAATGTTCTGGAAAACTGTATCAACAAACAGGGCAAACATCAAGAGCTTGAATCACTGGATTTTTTATACAAAACATGCTCATGGTAGACAAATACCAAAAACGAAAAAGCGCCTAAAACATAAATTTGAAAAGAAAGGTAAAGAAGAAGGAATGAGTAAAAAAGGAAGGGAGAAGGGGAAGAAGGAAATAGAGGGGGAAAGGAAATTGAAGAGAAGAAAGAAAGGAAAGAAAAATAAAATGGAATGGAGAGTCCTATCCTTTTGAGACAAGAGAAAGCGCAGGTCGAATTTTATGGTGGGGTTCATTTCTGCCTTGCTTCCTGCCCAGCTTCTGTAGAATGGCCCTTAATCATGGTGGCAGTGATTCTGATTGCAGGACCGCCTTTGCTGAAGAAAACCTGGGCCATCAAGGTGTTGAGGATAAAGCAGTGATCACAGACTTACACCCTCACCAACTGGGATATGCGCTCCCATTTGAGATGCTCTGGTTTGTGTTGACCTCCAGCTGATAGAGTTAGGGATGGGTGGAAGTCCCAGTCAGCACCAGGGTGGCAAAAAAGTATGCCCAAGAAGTATGCTTTTCTTGGCTCTCCTGTTTCCGAGGTACCCACAGAAGGCAGGAGTGTATGGTGAGCCACTCTGCCAGCACTAGGCACTGCACATTCCACAGCCAATAAGACCCTCTCAGATTTCTATAAGAAGTCAGTCCAGTGGGTCTGCTTTACATGGATCCCCACTACCTCCAAGTGGTGTTTTTATTGCCAATAAAAGAGACAGGTCCAGGGCATCCCTGAGTATTAGGCACACTGATTCCTGGTGGTGGCGATGGACGTAGCGTTAGAGGTGGTGCTGGTGCTGGTGCTGCTGACAGTAACGGTGGTGTGATAAGGTGGGGAAGGCCAGCTTACTGTAAGGTGCTCAGAATATGGCCCTTCAATTACATAGATCCATTTTTGGTGCACTTGAGTCTTTTCTGTAAATTCTACTTTCCATATGGAGTCATTTCCCTTTGGCATGAAGAACATCTTTAGCATACTACGTAGTGTAGTTCTGCTGGCTACAGATTCTCTCACTTAGGCATATATGAATATGTCCTTATGTAGCCCTCATTTTTGAAGGCTATTCTGGTCTCTTCTTCTGCAGTCCCCAGGCAACCACTGATCTGCTCTCTGTCACTATATTTTCTAGAATTTCAAATAAATGGAAACTTACAGTATGTAATTTTTGCGTAGCTTTTTTCATGCAGAATAATTTTAAGATCCATCCATGTTATGCGTACATCAATTGTTCATTCCTTTATATTGCTGAGTAGTATTTACTGTGTAGCTATACACAATTTGTCACCTGTTGATAGACATTTGGGAGTTTCTGTTTTTTAGCAATTACAGATAAGGTTGCTATGAATATTTGAGTTCAGGTCTTTGCATAGGAATATGCTTTCTTTTCTCTTCGGTAAATACCTGGGGATGGCAAACTGGATCATATGGTAGGTGTGTGTTTATGTTTTTACCAAACTACTGTTTTGCAGAGTGGTTATACTATTTTACTTTTTTACCAACTGTGGTAAATAATCAGAGGTCCACAATTAAATTAGGCTCTCCTTGCTACCAATCTTTCCATTCTTCTCATATTTGCTTTACACAGCCACAAATTGAATTCCAAGTCATTGAACACAGACTTTCTTATAACAGCAAGGAGTTGTACTGGAAGTGGATCCAGGGTTATGTGGCAGAGAATTCTGTGGCTTGGGGAGCTTGAAATGTCTTCTGGAGAGGGGAGGTTGTGGCCATAGGTAAGCATGTTCCCTTGGCTCAAAGGATTTTTTTTTTTTTCTTTGTGAAGGGACTTGGCCAAAGGATGACCAGAAGGGAGCCTTGAAAGCATGGAGCTCAGGATAGTGCATCCTGTTTAGGTCCAAGGGCTGTACTGTTCTCTTCTAATCCACCCAAATTCTACTAACCATCTTAACCCATCCGACATCCTCACTCCTGTATCTTCTGTCATGTGGCAGTTCTGTGTGTCCCCCTCCTCTCCATTGTTTGCTGTTTCACTTTCTGTGTCTCACTTTCCCAATTTGTGCATACACTTTTCAATCAACTACTCTGTCTCCCTCTCCTTCATATGTATGACAAAGTACATGAATGCTGTTCAAAACTGTGTCAGCGAAATGCATGGAGTTTGTTGTTTTTTTTCTCTGCTGCTAAATTGGTGTTAGTCTTCAGACATTGTCCAGGATACTTGACATTTACACACAGAATCTAGTGAGCAGCTAGCACTTCCTAGCCCAAGCTCTGCCCAGTTAGCCTTCCTTATCTCTGACCCCAGTTGACTAACCCTGCAAACCTCTCTGTGCTTTTGCTTATGTTTTACTATTCCAGCGTGAACCTTGGTTTGTTCCCCTGACGTCACCTCGTCTCATCTTTGCCTTTTTAGACTACTTCCTTACTAACTATATTAAGTAACCCAGAAATAAAGAGAGAATTTTTATCAGGTTTCTGCTTTTCCCAGCATTGGCTGTGGCTCTGCCTGTCAGATAGGTCACTAGAGACTCTGGCCATTAAAACATTTCCCAAGGGAGTCATGCCTCAATGTGTTTATTGAGGTTAATCTCTCTTTCTGATGTGTTCTATCTTTCATTCTCCATCTGGAAAATGTCTCCAGTCTTTCAAAAGTCACAGCATCATCTCTTCCTAGAAGCCTTCACTTTTTAAGTGATCTAAATTAAAGTATGTTTCTCTATCCTTTATGGCACATCTTGTAATATTTAAGACACTAGCACTGTAATTTTTTAAGTTTTTTTGTGTATTACTCTCTCTCAACTAGAAACTCTGTGAAGATGAGGACCACATCTCATTTGACTTTGTTTTTTAGCATTTAACAGTGCTCGTATATAAAATCCTCAAATACTTGGTTAATGAATCAATAAATTAATAAATGAAGGAATGGAATGCCTCTTTCATTTTCTGTTCTCCATGTCTTCCCTTCTTTTACTGTTGTTTCTGTTCTTCTTCCACTGTGACTTATTTTGCAATATAGAAATAATATGGGCTTTGTGACCTTTAACTAGAGTTTTCTTAGCTCTACAAATGTTGGAAAGTGGATTTTGAACCTTAGCAAACAAGCTGAAGTGGTTTAAACATTTGTTTTTGGGTGCAGCAATAGAAGAAATTTCACTGGCATTTGTTATGACGGTGAGTACATTTGTGAGGTGAACATTCTTCGCTCAAGACTGAGAGGCCTCTGGACAGATCTGCCTCCACTCTAAAGAAACACAGATCATATTTTGTCGCTGAGATCTCAGATAACTGGCCTTCCTCACATCTGGGGAACTCTTGAGATGGCCTACATAGAAACCAAAGAAGAATATACTGTTTAAAATTTTCAGGCTTGGCTTAGCCCAGATATTTTTCATAAAGATATTATGAAATAATGAAAATAAAGTTGCTAATATGCAGCCCAGTGATAGTAGGTGCCAGTAAATGTTAGTCTTTAATCCTCATCCTCTTTCCCAAGCTTACTCAAGTTCCCAAAGACATAAGTTTCCTTGAAATTTCTCTCAGGATCAGAGTCACAAATAAGGAATAGGTCCAGGTGATATGTGCCAGGCACCAAATGTGTAGCTCCTCTTTTCAGATGCCAGCAAATTAATCATCTGCTTTGGCACTTCCACGTTTCTTGAGACTGAGATGCTCTTGATGTTGCTGTTGAATGTAATGTGTGTTCCACATCAGCTTCTGGAGGCTGTCATGCTCAGCTCACACACAGTCAGGGACCAACCCGCTGGCCCAAAATCCTTAGCAGAAATCCCTTTCCTGGAAATACTGGTAATGTTCTGACTTGCCCTCTGGTTGCTTGAAGAGGTGCTGCAGACCTCTGTGGCAGGGCTGGGGAACACTGAACGGGTATTTTGAGCAGTGTGGGAGCAGACCACGCTGGCAGTATTCCAGCTCCCACCTGAATTCCACCTAAAGTCACTGATTAATCTGGTGTACCCAAGTGGCACTATTTACAGTAATAATAAGTAAATGTTAATGTGTAAAAAATAGTTTGAAAACAAAACATAAATAGAAAAAATAGCTTTAGTGCTCAGTTTCCTTACTTGAAAAACGAGTTTTTCAAAGTTTTAGATTCAGTTTTACAAAATACAATTCAGCTGAATTTCTGTTTAAAAACTGCATTTATTAATATATTTGTGGAAATAGATGTTCTCTATTGCCTACCCACAACTGTTAATTGTAACAAGGGAAGTTGCTTATGGAACAGCTTTGCCTGTAAGCATTTTAGAGGTAAAGTAGAACTTAGGTCAATAACCTACAATATTTAAATGCACCAAGCCTGTTCTCTAGGACTCCTCTTGCTTAAGGAAATAAGAGGAATTGTTTTCTTCCAAATCTTTACAGGCTTATGAAAGGCAAGGATGCATTTATTGGTCCTCTTTCCTTAAGTCTTTGCAGTCAAAAGTCCTTGAAGCTGGGTCCCTTGGAGACTATCAATTACATGTTGTTGGTAGTGGCTTGTTTTGAGAGTTTCAAAAAAAAAAAAAAAAAAAAAAAAAAAAAAAAACAAATCATTTTTTCTTTCTCTTTTTAGGAGCATCTAAAGGCCTTTGATGATGAAATCAATGCTTTTTTGGACAATATGTTTGGACCGCGAGGTCAGTGAACTACTTGAGAACTTAATGTGGAAGGAACATAAGGAAGAACACCATTTACTTATAGAAAGGGATTATGTTATTTCTGGGGTCTTGGAAATAGTAAGGTACTTACTATTTAGAAACTTAACTTCCTCAACTTTGATACCCTTCCAGAATGTCCAGAAGATCCCATTTCTCCTCCTGCTCAGCCTCTTCCAGGATTAAAGAAGTTCTGGGAACAGGAAGCAGAGACAGAATGAAATGCAATGCTTTCCTCCAGTGTCTGTCTGGCTACAAAGTCGAGTTGTAACTTTCCTTCTAAACTCTGCTGCTTGCTTGTTTCCTCTCCACCGCCCATTCATCTTCCACCTTCCTCATGTGCAAAGTCATATGTGACATTTCTGCCCTTAGATGCCTTGATAAATTCCCTTTAAAGATGTGTGCACTGGCTGGGCACAGTGGCTCTTGCCTGTAATCCCAGCACTTTGGGAGGCTGAGGCGGGCGGATCATGAGGTTAGGAGTTCGAGACCAGCCTGAGCAACATGGTGAAACCCCGTCTCTACTAAAAATATAAAAATTAGCTGGGTGTGGTGACGAGCACCTGTAATCCTGGCTACTCGGGAGGCTGAGGCAGGAGAATTGCTTGAACCTGGGAGGTGGAGATTACATTAAGCTGAGATCACACCATTGCACTCCAGCCTGGGTGACAGAGCGAGACTCTGTCTCAAAAAAAAAAAAAAATCCCAGGGCCCATAGGATGAGCTTAGATATTTCCTCATCCTTCCTTCACCAGTCACTTACTCTACTGCAGTGGCCTCCTAATGGGTCTCCCCTCTTCTACTTGTGCCCCCTTCCAGCCATTTATTCAGCGTCAGCTGGAATGATATTCTAAAGACTAAGTCATATTGTGTAGTGTACTGTAGCTTAAAACTTATCAATGTCATCCCACTGCACTCAGGTGAAAACCAAACTTCATATCATGGACTGCGCACCCTTGGGCTGTCTAACCCCAGCGACTTCTCCAACTCAGTCAGTGTCCGTCATCCTCACTGGCTTTCATATAGCTGCTCAAACCATCTTTTAATTCCGCAAATATGTAAAATTCTTTTACGTGCTATTCCTTGAGCCTGGAATTCCTCCCAAGGGTCTCCTACCCCTCCCTCCAGATGAGTCAGTTCCCCTTGTACTTCAGATGTCAGCTTAAATGTTGCCTTTTCAGTTGGGCTTTGCCTGTCTAAGGCACAGTGTCCCCCCCTTAGCAGTTTCGCTTTCTGTAGTTCCAGTTACCTGTGGTCAACCATGCTCCAAAAATAGGTGAGCATGATACAGTAAGATAGTTTCAGACAGAGAGATGACCACAGTCATATAACTTTTATTATAGTATATTGTTATAATTATTCTCTCACTATCCCTAATTTATAAACTAAGCTTTTCCGTAGGTCTGTATGTATAAGAAAAAACATGGTACAGACAGGGTTTGGTGGTGTCTGCAGTTTCAGGCATCCACAGGGGTCTGCTGTGGGTCCCTCAGCATTCTGTTTCAACCCTTGTTTACTTCCTTCAGATACTTCAGTTACTAAGAGTGATTTCTCCCAGGAGGGCAGGAACCCTGGCTGTTTTACTCACAATTTATCTCCAGAGTTGATTACAGTTCTGGGAACATATTCGACCCTGTATGTTTTGCAAATAAATGAATGAATTGTAGACAAAATGTTTCATTTTACTTGAACCTTGCTGGCTCACAGAACTGTGGAAAGTCCTGAGTTCTCTACAAGTTTTTTCCTGCCCTACTGGGGGAGTGAGAGAGCAGGGAATGGGGAGGTTTTCCTGTTTCTCAAGATCTTTAAACAATCACTTAGAGAGTATTTAGGCTCTTCTCCAGTTTCTCCATAGGCTCTATTAACTGTTCTAAATGAATGACTATATAGTTTTAAAAATAATGATACTGATTTTACATAGCTTTAAAAAAATCCTTACACATAGTTTTTGCTTTTTCCATTTTATCCTCCTGATGACTCTGTGGGGTAGGCAGGGCAGAATATCTTTATCTTCTAACCTACTTTTACTATCCTTACAGTTCTAGCGGGTGAAGGGAGAACAGCTCAGTATAGAGAGCATGACCCTCTCCCTTAGACCTGCAGGACCCGGGACCTTTTCCCTTAGTTAGGCATGCGGGACCCGGGACCCTCTCCCTTAGTTAGGCACACAGGACCTGGGACCCCCTCCATTAGCTAGGCATGCAGGACCCAGGACCCGCTCCATTAGGCATACAGGACCCGGGACCCCCTCCATTAGGCATGCAGGAACCGGAACCCCTCCCCTTAGGCATGCAGGACCCGGAACCGCCTCCCTTAGGCATGCAAGATCCAGGATGAACTATGATTTGTTGGTGACAATGGTTTTCTATTTGACACTTCAACTAGACAGTTAAACAACAACCTGTCTAAGCCAAGTTCACACGGAGCTTTGCTGTCAGTAAGATTGGTATGATCTGGAATTATGTGGATATGGGATCAGTTGATGAAAGGATTACTGTTGTTTACTCTGCATTGGTCATTGTGTTGATTTTTCTTTGTAGCAAGGAGATTGTAAAATTGACAGTTGACAGTGAAATCAGATGAGCTCCACAGTGACAAGGTGGCTAGCATGTAAGACATCGGGAATCTTTTCTTCTTCCTAAAAGGTTCACACGCTGATGCTGACTGGCACATCCCCTAATAAACTTCTCGGTGTCTCCTAGCCTGTTCTGATTTTGCCTACACCATGTTAGTACCATCAAGTGTATTGTTGTGTGCAAATACTGACTCAGAGGAAGAGCTAACACTTCTCAAGTCCCAAAGATAAGAAAGGTTATTACAAGCATTTGTTCCATCTTTTGGCTGAAACAATTACAATTGTCCTTAACAACTGTAGCAAACATTTATAGCATTTTGACCAAAAAACAAAAACATCAGGTACTGTATTAGTTTGTAGTACGTGCTTGACTCAGTGTAGTATGTGCTTGACTCAGCCAATGGATATGCATTTAATCAATGTTTCCTCTTAACTCAGCACTAAATAGGTATGAGTCGGGCAGAGTAGAGATATAAGACCTAATAGCTGTCTCCTGGAGCACTTGCTGTAGTTGGGGAGGTAAAGCCAGCATATCTGAAACTACTGGAAAACAATTAAGTCCTAAACCAAGTGTGTTTGTTTCCTAGGATGCCATAAAAAGTACCACAAACTGGCTGGCTTAAATAGGAGAAATGTATTCTCTCACAGTTCTGGAGGCCAGCAGTCTGAAATGAAGGTGTCAATAGGGCCTTGCTCCCTCTGATGTTCTAGGGAAGAATCTGAACTGTGACTCCCCCCCAGTTTCTGGTGGTTGGTGGTGGTCTCTGGTGTTCCTTAGCTTGTAGATGCATCACTCCAGTCTCTGCCTCCATCTTCACATGGCCTTCTCCTCTTTGTCTTCTTGTATCCAGACCTCTTCGTCTTATAAGGACACTAGTCATTGGCTTAGGGCCCACCCTAATCCAGTATAACCTCATCTTAGCTACATTATATCTTCAAAGACTATTTTCAAATAATGTCACATTCACAGATTTCAAGTTCAGACTTGAAGGCCTCTTCGTAGGGGACACAATTCAATCCACCAACACCATAACAAGAAGTAGTATAGAAGTTTAGTGCAAGTAATTTAACTTTTTTAGGCCTCTACAGCTCAATTTAAGTGTACAATGGATAATATTATCACCTATATAATGGGATTGCTTTGAGAATCAAATAAGCTAATACATGTAAAAGGCTTCAGAATAGTGCCTGGCACAGAATAAGTGCTCAGTAAATGTTACAGTAACAGCATCATAGCCATAATAATATGTGAATTACACAATAATAATCATCTTGCTCTGCACGTGAGGAGCTTTAGATATGAAAATGCAGTAGGAAACGTCTCCTTCAGAAGTCAGGACCTTTATCTGGGCATTAAAAGATGAGTATGCTTCAGATACGGAGATGGACATTAGGAAGTGACACACAGCACAGACTTATGACAGGTGACTGCAAGCCTGCGGTATGAAAGGTGGTATCTGGTAGTCACATGAATGCCGGGAAGAGCTTTCTTACCTTTTTATCTCTATCACCAGTGGGAGATATTTATGTAATAAGTGATGGGACAGTCAGAGCTCAAGAAGGCACTTTCCTTGTAGAAATGGTACTGTCTGTAGGGTGGGTGGTTTAACAAGAGGCTGGAGAAGACAGGGTAGGACATACCAGGAAGAGGGACTGAGAAAACAAAACATTCAAGAAAAGGCCATCACCTGTTGATGAAACCAGCTCCCTACAACTCCATTTGTAGAGATTAAAGGCAGCATGCAATTTTTATAATTCTGGGCCAAATCATTTAAACCGAAAGAGCAGAATAGAGAACAAAAATCATTTTGTGTCTACAAGTATTTTCAGGCGTTACTAATTATATTGCAGCTCTATCATGTGGGTTTCATTTAGGCTTTTACATTTTCGCTTTCCAGTGTAATGGGCCTTAATGTACTCAACTGCTTGTCTCCCTGCCGTGTATCCGTCCTGTCTCGTAGCCAGGTCTGGGTCATCAGTTCTGAATGACAGTTCCCAGGCTTTGCCTCTGCTGTCTGCAGCATCCAGGCTTGCTGGACTGTCATCCTGTTGCTTTCTCTGAATCAGCTGAACTCTAAAGCCATTCCATTTCTGATCCTTGGCAAATTTGGAGCTGTGTGGGTTTTAGGAATTGGGATACAGTGTCGATATGTTGATATGCCTTCTTTCCTCTGACTGCTCCGATCTTCTCCATGGGAGGACGACTGCAAGGTATCACTGGCTGGGAGGCAGATGTGCTGGTTCAAACCCTGACTCTACTGCTGACTATGGTGTGGCCTTTTGAAAGTTACTAAAGCTTTCTGAACTTTTTTTTCCATCCATAAAATGGCATAATAGTACTTACTTTATATAGAGTAAATAAATGCAGTAACTGTTCCAAAATAGGCATTCAGGAACTGTCACTTTGCACCTTTAATTTATTGTCCCCGTCATTCAGTGTTCAGCCGAAGCCCTATTTGCTCCGTGAAACCTTTACCAATTCAGCCCCCACTGGCTTCCTCTTGCCTTAACTCTAAACCCGAGTCCAGCCTACCTAATGCTATGTGGGGTTGTTCCCTGTTGTGCTGGTATGTACAAATGCAATGTATATGACAATACTGATGACTGAACAGGAGCGTCACTCCTCAGGATCCTCACTGTATGTGTTTCTTTTCAGATTCTCGAGTCAGAGGGTGGTTCATGTTGGACTCTTACCTTCCTACCTTTTTTCTTACTGTCATATATCTGCTGTCAATATGGCTGGGTAACAAGTATATGAAGAACAGACCTGCTCTTTCTCTCAGGGGTATCCTCACCTTGTATAATCTTGGAATCACAGTTCTCTCCGCGTACATGCTGGCAGAGGTAAGTGTTTACGTAGCCAAAGCTGAAATCCAGTAAATGAGCAGTTTTTATTAATAGAATCAATCACATTTAGGCTGGCAGAACTATGCAAGGTTGCCATCAATACTGTTTTTTAAGACCTAAAGAACTTATTTCAGCATTTGAGATTATTTTTTTCGAAAATCCTGGAAGTCCTTATTTATAACTTGAATATTTCTTATCCCAATTTAGACTTATTTCTTTCTTTCTTTGCCTTTTTTTTTTTTTTTTTTTTTGGGACAGAGTCTTGCTCTATCACCAAGGCTGGAGGGCAATGGTGCAATCTCGGTTCATTGCAATCTCTGCCTCCTGGGTTCAAGCAATTCTTGTGCCTCAGTCTCCTGAATAGCTGGGATTACAGGCACTCACCACCACGCCCCGCTAATTTTTGTAATTTTAGTACAGTGGGGGTTTCACCATGTTGCCCAGGCTGGTCTCAAACTCCTGACCTCAGGTGATGCTCCTGCCTTGGCATCCCAAAGTGCTGGGATTACAGGCGTGAGCCACCGCTCCTGGCCTAGACCTGTATCTTTAGTCCCTAGTCTGATTATAATTTAGAATCACAATGTAGATCAAATGGGCCTTTAAAGATCATGTTACAATTTTCCCCTTTTACAGATTATGATACTGAGGCTTAGAAAAGTGTTATAATTTGCCTGAGAATAGACAGTGATTAACAGAGGATTTTAAAAATTAACTTAAACATCAAATGCATTAGTTTTACTGAAATGCTAATATATATATTCCCTTAAAGAATACTCCATTTGTCTTTGGAACACTGATAGAGGTGTGGCTGTTTCTCAGGACTGACGCGTTGGGCCTGAGCTGACGTTTCAGCTCAGCTCTAGTGGCTCTTCTTACATCCTGTACTCCCAATTCCTCCAAACCAAACCAAGCACTAAATCAAGGTCATTTTACAGGAGAAGGAACAAGGATGATTGCCGTGTCTGTATAACCAAAAGTTGTTTTAATGTAATAATAGAAGGGGAAAAAAAGTGTTAAATAACTTGCTCTAGAAAAAAAAAAAGAAAAAGAGGGACAAAGAGAACAAAAACGTAACATTTTTAGGGGATAGATAAAATCATTCACACAAGCTGTAAGCAGCTGATAATGGCACAAATATAGCTGCCTATCCGGTGATCTTGAATTCTAAAAGAAAATAAATCATTGCTTTAAAATGAAGGTACTCTTGAGAGTTTATTCTATGCATTATTCTAATATGTACCATTCTAATCATGGTTAATAACTATTAACATTACCATAAATGACTGGAATGAAGCTCTCATAATAGAATTTTAGGCATCAGTCACTGCAGGAGATGGAATTTTGGGGTCAAAATGCCATGCTGACAACTTTTTTCTTTTTTTTTTTGAGATGGAGTCTTGCTGTGTCCCCCAGGCTGGAGTGCAGTGGCGCAATCTCAGCTCATTGCAACCTCCACCTCCTGGGTTCAAGCGATTCTCTTGCCTCAGCCTCCTGAGTAGCTGGGATTACAGGTGTCTGCCACCATTGCTGGCTAATTTTTGTATTTTTTGTTTTATTTAGTAGAGATGGAGTTTCACCATGTTGGTCAAGCTGGTCTCAAACTCCTGACCTCAGGTGATCCACCTGCCTCGGCCTCCCAAAGTGCTGGGATTACAGGCATGAGCCACTGTGCTGGGCCAACAACTCTTAAAATCATATCACATAGGTGCTTACTAATCTACTTGACACTGAAAGGACCATTTTTATTTTAGGTTCTCTATTAGCTGAATTTTAGCTCACCAGATGAATTAGCAAGATAGTAATTTATGGCGTTAGTTTCTCTATATAGCAGAAGGAAAGGTACTCTTGGATTGTTTTCCAGAAGTGACAGCTGCACACTATTTACAAGAGCAAAGACTTGGAACCAACCCACACGCCCATCAATGATAGACTGGATAAAGAAAATGTGGCACACATACACCATGGAATACTATGCAGCCATAAAAAAGAATGAGATCATGCCCTTTGCAGGGACATAGATGAAGCTGGAAGCCACCATTCTCAGCAAACTTACACAGGAACAGAAAAACAAACGCCACATGTTCTCACTCATAAGTGGGAGTTGAACAATGAGAACACATGGACACAGGGAGGGGAACATCACACACCTGGGCCTGTTGGAGGTTGGTAGGCAAGAGGAGGGATAGCATTAGGAGAAAAAACTAATGCTTGTGGGGCTTAAAACCTAGATGATGGGTTGATAGGTACAGCAAACCACTATGGCACACGTATACCTACATAACAAACCTGTACATTCTGCACATGTATCCCAGAACTTAAAGTAACACTTTAAAAAATTAAAAAAAGAATTGACAGCTGCAGCAGAAGGGCCAGCCTACATGTCCAACCACACCAGTAGCTCTAGTACCTGTTTGGATGGAGCTTTGGTGTAGTGGAGTTAGAAGGCACAAGTTTAAGTGTTAAATCTATCTGTGTAATTTTAGAGAAGTTATTTAGGCTTTCCAAACCTTAGGCAACTTATCTATAAAGCAGAGATACAACATTTATCCTACCTAACTCTTGAGTGATTTGTAAGGATTCATGACTTTTTTACTAGGCACTGTGAAGCCCTGAAGGTATAAGATGGGCAAGGCACAGCTTCTACACTTGAAGAGCTTGTGGACTCATACAGAGCAGGAGTTGGTAAATGTGAAAATGCTTTGTGAATTGTAAAGTGCTAGTTGAACAGCAGTCACCATCACCAGGAACAAGAACAATGGTTTAGTTTTTGAACAATGAGGTAAATGTCGTCTTTCTAGGAAGAACATAACTGCAGTGAGCCCGCTGCCTACCACTGATTTTACATACTGCTTACCCACTCTTTCTTTTACCCTTTGTATCTTTTAGTTCAAAATCACTACCATTGATTGCCACGCAGCCGCCTCTCTTTAATTGTGACCTCTTTCAGAGCAGGCGAAAGGTCTTTGTTTGACACTCTGGGGGTATGTTTAATAGACACTAGTCAGGTGACAGACTGATTCAACCTTGCTAACTTGTTAGGCACCAGCAGATGTTTGCGTAAGCTGGAAAGTCACTGCAATAATTAACGGTCTTTCAACAAATATGTATTGAGTTCCTACGCTGTCAGATTCGATTCAGATTCCAGAACACAGCCTTTGCCCTGTGGGAAAGAGTGAGGAGCTGGTGATGGGGCAGACTCTGAGAAAATGACATTGGAGTTGAGACTGAATGATACAGTGGACAGAGGATCAGTGGTTCAAGATGAGGTAGAGAGATGGCAGATGACTTTGGGGCCTTGGAAGGAATTTGGCTAGCACTCTTAAGTGTAATGGAAGGCTATTGGAGGATTTTAATGATGGGAGTGCTATTATCTCCCTTTTAAAATAGATCACTCTAGCTGCTACATAGAAAATGGACTATGAGGGTGAGTTGGCAAGAATGTTAGCAAAGAGTCTAGTTAGATCACTGCAGTACTGCAGGCAACAATGCTAGCATCTTGGATTAAGGTGGTGAAGATGGGGAGAAGGTGGTGGATTCTAAGTATATTTTGGAGTAATTTAGTCCACACCTTCTTACAGCTAACCTTATTTGACAGCCTGGCTTCCTTTTCTTCAAAACATAGGTTAGATGACTTCTGTAGATTAAGAATGGTCCAGGGTGAGACAGAGCCTCTCTAGCATGGCTGCCTATTCAGTTATTAAATTGTCAGGTTTGCACAGATGCCACAGGAATAGGGACGGCCCGAATAAATCTGACTAAAGCAGGAAATATCATGGGGAAACAGAGAATATGCCCTGTCCTCTCCACACTCAGGAGTTACAGAGTAACTATTGTTAATGTGCAGAGTAGAGATTGGAGCCTCTTGCTACAGAACCACAACCTGACCAGAGAGGTTTTTAATTACTCCTTGTACACAAAGTTAAACAGCTTCCTTAGTTTGAAAAATGCACCAACACACCAAAGTTTGTTTATAGATTAAAGTATTTCTGGGTCCCATCTAGGCTGTCACTGGTTTCCAGTTGAGAACTAAGAGCATAAATCCCCTGGGAGATACTGGGAAGATTTGTAATAGATCCAAAAATCCAAGGTTTTCTTCTTTCACAGGACTTATTGATGTTGATAATCTTTAATTAGCATGATGTTAACAGAAAGGTTTTCTGTTAGAAGAGAGGTATATCAGGACAGTGAAGAAGTCTCACAAAGGCTCTAAAATGTTCCAAATGTTACTTAGTAATCTTTCTCTCTAACATTTAATTAGTTAACATCCAAACCCTCTCAGCCGTGTATATGTATTTTAATGAATCTATACCTTTATATATCTCTAAGGCAGCAGAAAATATTAAATAGTAGGCCTTTTGCCTGTAATACCTGATCCAAATCAATGCCAAATGCCTTATGTCCTAGAATTTTAACTTTTTACAGGGAGAAAACTTCTTTCATAGAATTTTCAACAAAGAATAAGCTCCTTTTCTCATGATGTGGAAAGTACACTAAACAATGAATTAGGAAGTCTGAATTTAATCATCCTTCTAACACTTTGCTGTCATGTCATCTTGAGCAAATCATATACTCATCAAATGTTTACTGAGCACTTACCACATAGCAGGTACTGGGCAAGGAACTGTAGATACAAAGATGAGCAAAAACAGAGGCATAAAACTTTTGGAGCTTTTTGGTTTTGGGGAGCAATGGGGAAGATAGACATTAATCACTAAATTGTTTGATTACCAAGTAGCATAAATGCAATGATGAAAATGGCTTAAGAACCTTACTGAACCCTGTTTTTGTATCTGTAAAATGACAATATATATATATTTAAAATTGAGATGATTAAGTATATCTAAACCAACACAAAATATTAAATTTTTACTGTAGTTTTCTCACAGTTGTTTTCAACTAATTCTACATTTTGCTTGTAGAAACATGGATAGGTAATTCCTTACATAAAATTTTGTGACTCAAATGATAGTTAAAATCTGTTATTTTGACCGATGTAAATAGTTAGAGGTAACATATATTAATTAAGGAAGTAGCCATTGATTTCAGTTCCAACAGCAGGAGTTAAGTCCCTTGATAATAGGTATCTGAGGATAGGATTGAGACAAACTCAAATTCTGGGAAATTCCTACTCAAACCTTGAATAGATGCCAGAGACATGAATGGGAAATTCAGTCTGCTTCCAAATTCCTGTGCTGATGTTTGTTTTTCTTTCTTTCTCCGTTCCTTGGCAGCTCATTCTCTCCACTTGGGAAGGAGGCTACAACTTACAGTGTCAAGATCTTACCAGCGCAGGGGAAGCTGACATCCGGGTGAGCCACTAGAAGCAAATCAACCAACTATAACCAGTTCTCACTGACAAGGAGCGGAGGCTTTCTCCTTCCAGATAGGGGGCAGAGGCTAGAATTAGATAAGAAAGGAGTTCCTGTTCTAATAGAAATGCTTGGTTACAGGCTGGGTGCAATGGCTCATGCCTATAATCCCAGCACTTTGGGAGGCCAGGTCGGGCAGATCATGAGGTCAGGAGTTTGAGACTAGCCTGGCCAATATGGTGAAACTCCATCTCTACTAAAAATATAAAAAATTAGCTGGGCATGATGGCACGTGCCTGTAACCCAGCTACTCGGGAGGCTGAGGCAGGAGAATTGCTTGAACCGGGACCCGAAAGACAGAGGTTGCAGTAAGCTGAAATCACGCCACTGCATTCTGGCTTGGGCGACAGAGCGAGACTCTGTCTCAAAAAAATAAATAAATAAACAAATGCTTGATACAAAAATGATTTCCAACTATCTGTCTGTAGGGGCCCGGCTGAATAAACCGCAGCACATCCACATAGCTGATGCCTCTACAAAGTAGAGTGAGGAAGAGCTCTATGCTGTTGCAGAATTCTCTAGGATATAGTTACGTGAACAAAAACAACTTGCAGACTGTGTTTATAGGATAGCACCCTTTGTGCCAGAAATGATATGAATGTGTATGTGTATTTGCTTGTATTTTTAAAAAGAAACAATGAGAGGATAAACTAAAAGCTAATAAGTGTTTTATTTGAGGGGAGGGAACAGAGCAGAGGGGATACAGTGGAAGCCAGAATTCTCTGATTGTACCTTGTGCTATATTTGATTTTGGAACCCCTAAGTGCTTTACATAATTATAAAACAAAATTTAAAAAGAAAGCAAGCCAGCCTCCCCCTAAAAGTTGGAAACAAACTTAAATAAATGAATATACCTATATATTAAGTTGGTGATGTAACCACCCAAGGAATTACTTCAAATGACTTTAAAAGTTTTTTTTGACTAAATGCCCCTAGTGAGATATATCTTAACAGTATTCAGTAATTTTTTTGTTATTGTTAATAACATTGGTATTGCTTTTTTGACACTGTTATAGTACACTATGGGATAAATTCATTATATAATAATGTTAATATCAGTAGGCACTACTATTTGAAACATGGAAAAAAAGAGACACCAATAAAAAAGTTAAACTAAAACTCATTAATCATAGATCCAAGTTGGAAATATCAGAATTAACTATCCTTTTTTAAACATTTAATTTTTAGCTCTGTCTACAGAAATGCCTAGTCTATGACAGCCCAGTACAACGAGCAGTGATCACCTAGATTGTACTCTCTAAATATAATGTTCTCCAGAAAGGATTAGCTTTCTTAGATAATGGGTTTCTTCCTGGTTTGGGGCAGGAAATGTTTATAAGATGAACCTAGGACATCAATGACAGAAAGCAAAGCAGCTATCCAGGATGAGGATCATCACAAAAAGACAGGAGTTGTCTGAAGGGACCCCACTGCCTAAAAATGGGGAAGGTTGAACATCGAAAAGAATACTGACTGGAATGAATTGAAGCATTAAATATGTAAAAAAACCATGAGTTTAAAATGATACTCATTTTTAAAACTCTCATTGTTACCTTTTGAAGGGTGTTAGAACACCAATTCATTTTAGGAAAAAAAAAAAATTAGAGGGAAAGAATTAAACATTTATCTTGCCTTTCATATGTGAATTTTCAAATAGATGAAAAGGGAAAGTTCTCTATAGAAAAGAAAAATGCTTAGTTAACAATAGAATTAGAAAATCACCATTTTGCAACTCCTAGTGAAATAATGGATAGTATTCGTTTGTTTTGCGTTGCTATAAAGGAATACCTGAAGGTGGGTAATTTATAGAGTTTTATTTTGGCCCATGGTTCTGCAGGCTGTACAGAAAGCACGGTGCCGGTATCTGCTTCTTATGAGGCCCTCAAGAAGCCTGTAAACATGGTGGAAGGTGAAGACGGGGGCAGGCATGTCACATGGCAAGAGAGGGAGCAAGGCATAGGGAGGTCCCAGACTCCTAAACAATCAGATCTTGCAGTAACTCACCTCAGGAAGGGCACCAAGCCATTCATGAGGGATCTACCACCATGTCCCAAACACCTCCCACCAGGCCCCACCTCTGACATTGGGGATCACATTTCAACATGAGATTTGGAGGGGACAGACATCCAAGGTATATCATGGATCTGACAGCAGTTATTTGTGAAGGGTAAAACTATTCAGTGAAAATTGAATAGAAACTTCATAATGATTGGACTCAACACCTGAACTCACGGTTCAGTCTCAATATCAGTGGAACAGCCAGAAATTATGTACCTCCTGATGGGAGGCAGTAGGAAGCAGACAGAACCCTCTGAAGTAACAGTACCAAAAAAAAAAAATTACACCTGAATCTAATCAAGCCTGTTTATCTAATTGCCAGTAACAGAAAATGCATGTGTAGAGAAATGAGTTAAATGACACTAAGAAACAATCATATAAATCTGTAATATTAGAAATTATTTATAAAGGATCTAGTTTTTCTAAGAATTAAAAGACATGAAAAAAAGGAGCAAAGAGAGAGAACTGTTATTGGTTAGCAGAGACTTAAAAACCATTGCAAATCAATGGAAGATGGACTTTGTTTGGATCTTGATTTAAACTAATTATAAAAACACATTTTGGCAGGGGCTAGGACAAAAAAAGGACATTTTTGAGACAAAGAAATTTGAATGTGGATTGGGCCCTTAGAAGATACTAAGGAATTGTTAATGTTAGACAAGATAATGACTTCATGCTTATGTTAAAAAGTTTCCCTATCAGAAGTATTTATAAATAAAATGATTCCTTGGGTTTGCTTACAATATTCTATACTTCCTACTCCCCTGTTCCCCGAAATGGTGGAAAATGGAATTGATAAAAACTAGATTGGAATCATATTGAAAATTCTGAAGTTTAGCATTGGATACTGAGTATTCATTTTACTTATTCTCCCTGCATTAGTGGATGTTTGAAATTTTCTATAATTAAACATTACATATTATTAAGGAAGATAGTAGACACCATTTAGCTAAAATCTTTAATATCAAGATGGACCTTTTCTTTTTGGAGACAGAGTTTCACTTTTGTTGCCCAGGCTGAAGTGCAATGGCACAATCTCAGCTTACTGCAACTCTGCCTCCTGGGTTCAAGTGAGTCTCTGGCCTCAGCTTCCTGAGTAGCTAGGATTACAAGTGTGCGTCGCCACACCTAGCTAATTTTTGTATTTTTAGTAGAGACAGGGTTTCGTCATGTTAGCTAGGCTGGTCTTGAGCTCTTGACCTCAGGTAATCCACCTGCCTTGGCCTCCCAAAGTACTGGGATTATAGGCATGAGCCACCGTGCCTGTCCAAGATGGACATTTTAAAAACATCTTCAAAACTGCAATACAAATAAAGTAAGACATCTTGATTTCTCTGCATTCATTTTTATTTCTAATGCATTACCACAAACCCATGTATTTTGGGATACCATACAGTCCTCTAAAGGTTGTTTTTATTTATTTGTAGTTTAGTATTTCTGAAGGTTAATTATCCCATCAGACATTAAGATGGTTGCCACCACACCTTATGCTGATCTTCTTGGGAAGTAGACAGTAGAGCATGATATTTTAACTCCAATGTTCCTATTATGTAATATCTTTAAAAATATCTTAGGTTTAATGTTAGTGATAAAAACACAGTGCCTTTAACTAAAGAAGTGTCTCCCTGTATATGAGACTGACTGAGGGCCTAAGGAGGGAAAGGATGTGGTTATCATGACCTCCCACTGTTAGCAGGGGTAAATGACATCTCGATTTTTAATCCAGTCATCTGAGGAAAAGACACAAAAGATGTAGTCATAGACTGCCCTTGGACAGCGTGTCTAAGAGACAAAAAAAACGTACTTTAGAAGAGCAGAGGAAAATTATAATCTAATGTAACAAACAATAATGACCTCCTGTTGAGTGCTAGGAACTGAGCAAATGAGAGTGACAGTTTCTGCCTTTGAGTGATTTGCAATCTATTGATAGATTCATAACCCTAGCTACATTCTATTATGGCTATTGATTATGGAGCCATAAAGCAATGTGAATACAAATGAAGCAGTGGTTCAGCCTGAGAAAGGAAAGGGCTGGGAATTTCCAGACAAAAGGTGGCATTTAAGAGGAATATTAATAAAGGATGACTAGAATATGCCAGACCTGAGGAAGGGAAGGAGTGCTGGGAGCAGGGAGAAGGGTTTTTATTGCTGGAGGAGGAGTAAGCAGGCCACTGTCCCAGCGCACAGGACACCATGGTGGGGAGCTTGCAGGAGGCTGGTGGGAACAGCAGCCAGCCAAGCCCATAGGAGATCCTGGGTTCAAGCCAGGAGTCATGGACTTGGTTCTGCAGGTGCAGAGGAATAACCTGATCTCCCGTGTGTCCTGGAAAAATAACTCGTTTCTCACTAGAGTGGGGTGGATTGCTTGAAATAAGGAGGAACTGGAGACAAGGACACCAGGTGAGCTGCCTTTTCGGCAGTGAGAAAGAAATCGTAGGAAAGCGCAGGCAACACGCAGAAGGCTGAGTGGTGGGGTGGCACCAGGAACGTTCCCGTTTCTCATCTTTTTCCCCTCTTTACAAATCTCTATAGGTAGCCAAGGTGCTTTGGTGGTACTACTTCTCCAAATCAGTAGAGTTCCTGGACACAATTTTCTTTGTTTTGCGGAAAAAAAACCGTCAGATTACTTTTCTTCATGTATATCATCATGCTTCTATGTTTAACATCTGGTGGTGTGTCTTGAACTGGATACCTTGTGGACAAAGTAAGTTATTTTGTAAATTTTTCCATTTTGAGGAATGGCTCTTACAGAGACCACTGGTGCTGTCTTGTATTGAGCACATGCAGATCAGAAGAGCATGAAGGGAGGTCAAGAGTGCCAGCCTCACCATGGCAGGATACCCGTATCTGCCAGGGGCCATGTATTCTAGTGTCTGGTCTTTGATACAGGCAAAATCTGAGCTGAACCTTAAACTGTGTTCTTTTCCATGCATCCTGTGTCCCATGGTCAGAAGCACATATGCCAGCGGGTGCTGCTTCACTCCAATCCCAGGTGTTGTTTGACTCCTGTGGAAATACATCACCTTCCACAGTCACCACTTCCCTGTGAAACAGATTGAGGCGTTTCAGCTTTTAGGGTTTCTTCTTTTCACATTCTGAAAAATTAAGGTTACATCCCCGAATGACCTACAAGATTTTCCATTTTTTAAAACTGAGAGTTACAATAAGAAATACACTTTATATCACAACCCAGTGTACTCATCCATATATATTTTTTTTTTTGAGGTGGAGTTTCCCCCTTGTTTTCCAGGCTTGAGTGCAGTGGTGCGATCTCGGCTCACTGCAGCCTCTGCCTTCTGAGTTCAAGCAATTCTCCTGCCTCAGCCTCCTGAGTAGCTGGGATTACAGGTGCCTGCCACCACACCCAGCTCATTTTTTGTATTTTTAGTAGAGATGAGGTTTCACTGTGTTGGTCAGGCTGGTCTCAAACTCCTGACCTCAGGTGATCCACCTGCCTTAGCCACCCAAAGTGCTGGAATTATAGGTGTTAGCCACCACACCCAGCCCTTTGTTTTTTTTTTTTTTTTTTTTGGTTTAAGAGCCACAGGGTCTCACTCTTCTGCCCAGGCCAGAATGCAGTGGTGTAGTCATAGTTTACTGCAGCCTCGAACTCCTGGACTCAACCCATCTTCCTGCATCAGCCTTTCAGTTCACTGACCATATGCGTGCACCCTGCCCAGCTAATTTTTTTTTGTAGGGCTGGGCATAGTGGCTCACATCTGTAATCCTAGCACTTTAGGAGGCTGAGGCAGGTGGATCGCTTGAGCTCAGGAGTTTGAGACCAGCCTGGGCAACATGGCAAAATCCCATCTCTACCAAAAAAAAAAAAAAAATACAAAAATTAGCTGGACGTGGTGATGTGCACCTGTAGTGCCACCCAGCTTCTCGGGAGGCAGAGGTTGCAGTGAGCTGAGATCGTGCCACTGCACTCCAGCCTGGGCAACAGAGCTGTCTCAAAATAAGTGTAGACCTAAGATGAATTTAATTATATTTAACCAAAGCAATATATTCTTACATGATTTCTAGGCCCCATGACCCAGTATCTAGAGACATTAATTCTAACCAGTTGTTTGCTTTTAAAGGAGCGATTTCATTTTGGGAAACAGGTTTCAAATGAATACATACACATAGGTAAAATTACTCTGTGCTGGTGTAGTCTTATTAGAGAATGTTTATGGTCCCATTTGTATATGAAAATGTGGTTAGAATGTTAATTGGATAATGTATATATAAGAAGTTAAAGTACATAAAGTATAGCTTCAGCCACATTTTAAACACTGTTTAACATTTTTGCAAAACCTTCTTGTAGGAAGAGAGAGCTCTCTACATGAAGATGACTTGTTTTATATTTCAGATTTTATTTTAAAAGCTGTGTCTGGGCCGGGCACCATGGCTCACACCTGTCAGTCCAGCTACTCAGGAGGCTGAGGTAGGAGAGTCCCTTGAACCCGGGAGGTAGAGGTTGCAGTGAGCTGAAATTGCATCACTGCACTCCAGCCTGGGAACAGAGCGAGACTCTGCCTCAAAAAAAAAAAAAAAAGCTGTGTCTGTTAAACAAGAAAAAACACAAAAGAACCCCAGATTCCTGGTTCGTCATTCTGTATTCTTAATCACTTTTTCAAGTTATGTTTTGTTGCATGAACTGTTAACTATTCGTGGAACACCAAACAAATGCCTATTTAATAAAGAACTGTGACCAAGGATATAAATGCCATTTACATTATTTTCAGTATTGTTGGTTATATTTAAATTTTCTTTATAATAAAGCACACTTTTTTTTTTTTTTTTTTTTGAGATGGAATCTTGGCTCATTGCAACCTCTGCCTCCCAGGTTGAAGCGATTCCCCTGCCTCAGCCTCCTGAGTGTCTGGGACTATAGGTACACACCACCACGTCCGGCTAATTTTTTTATATTTTAATAGAGACAGAGTTTCACCATGTTGGCCAGGGTGGTCTCAATCTCCTGACTTCGTAATCTGCCCACCTCGGCCTCCCAAAATGCTGGGATTACAGGCGTGAGCCACTGTGCCTGGCCAAAGCACACTTACATTAAACAACAAGTGTAGAGACAGGGTCTCTCTGTGTTGCCCAGGCTGATCTTGAACTCCTGGGCTCAAGGAGTCCTCCCACCTCTGCATTCCAAAGTGCTGGGATTACAGGTGTGAGCTACTATGCCTGGCCCTCATTCATATTTCTATGTTTTATATGAAATTTTATGAAATAGTATTTACCCTGACTCTGTATGATGCACTGTATTTTTTTAATCCTGTTTCACTTTTACAAAAAGTTGACAACTCTCACTGCATTGACTTCACCATTCACTAACGGGTCAGTTATGACCTACAGTTTGAGATGCACTGAGCTAGAGAGAACAGTACTTTCTATTTGATATTGCCCTGTACTCAGGAATTTAAAAATACTGTATGAAAAACCAGAACATATAAAACTTAAGTCAAAATGACTTTGTTCTAGGATTTGGGATCCTGCAGGGATGATGTTAGGGGAAAAAAATGCCCAGGGATATTTGGAGTATCAATAACTGTGAAGGTACAAATGAAAACTAGAGTGTAAAGAAGGAAGTTGCTGGGAGTGCAGTGGGAATAAAGAAAGAATTGATCTCTGTCCTTCTAGACTGACAGAGATCAATTTCTTCAGTTTAAAGGAAGGACAGCTACAATCAATATCAAAGGAGAATTACCAAGGTTAAGTATTTTTATGACTGTCAAGTTTCATTACAAATCACTGAGCATCTAAAACTCAAAGCATCACTGTGTAAAGACATAGTCCTGTGAATACTGTGTGACAATTTCTGCTTAAGAATATTAGAAAAAATATGTGACCTACCAGAGCAGTGTTTCAATTTTCTGAAATGCCTCAGTCTGTATCACAGTGAAGTGGTGACTGTGGAAGGTGCTATATGTCCATAGGAGCCAAACATTATAAGCAACAACTACTCATGGTTCATTAATTGATGGAAATGAAAAGTCAGGTGGGTAAAGAAATGGCACTGACTATGTTACTTGGTAGTCTGAATATTTGTGTTTTCATATAAATTCAAGTACCATCAGTTTATTTCAGCCAGCATTGGTTGAGAATTTACTATATGCATGGTATTATACCTTTTGTTTCTTATTTATTCATTTGCATTTAGCTATCCAGATCACTAATCTAGGATTAGAAAACCAGGCTAGAGAATTTAAATTGATTTATTAGCCAGCATATGTGAGTGCTTTTTAGTTCATACAGTATGTTATCTCAGTTAATTTCTTCACAACCTTAAGAGCTAGTTATTATTATTATACCTATTATCCAGGTAAGAAAACAAAAATTTACAGTCAAAGCAATGTCTCCAAGGGGACATAGCCAATAAATGGCCCTCTAATGCCACAGTCTCTCCCACCACAGGATAGCTCACAGAACAGCCATCTGGATCCCGAGCTGACAGCTGAAGAGTATGCACTTTGTGCCAAGCATTGTTCTAAGCACTTTCGTGTACTGATGAAATCCCACAACACTGAGCTTCCTTACTTCCAACAAGTGATGCATCTATGGCATCTTACCTCTTGGAGCTAAATCCTTTCAATGTTTAGCTGACCCAACATGGAACATGACCCTTTTCTCTATGGGTTCCTGAAGCCTTATTCACCCATGGTGGAGGCAGTTATAGAGACTTTTCATGAGGTTGATGGCAGGGACCTGGATTTTAGATATCCCTCATCCTAAATGTACCTGCAATGTGACCAGTCACTGGGAAGGTCTCGCTGGCTGGTTTCTCCTCCACTCTAGCCTTGTCTGTCTCCCATCTTTCTCCAGCACCTCCTGGTTCCTAAGTGTCTTTCAGGTAGAATTTATTTACTTAATTATGAAAGCAGTTGTTCAGCCATGTACAGAAGGATCTTTCTACAGTCAGTATGTCTTATCAAAGGTTTAGCCAAAGCAAAGACAATTCTATTTCAGAGGAATTCTGCCACCAGCTTTAAGCTAGTATTTCTTTTCTTCCCTCAGTAGCTGATAGTAGTGACAGTTAAAGAGACAGTAAAACCTCCTAGATAAGGCGTTCCATTTGGGTGGCATTCTAAAAAGCCGTCCCAGGCTAGTACTTCTATCATGGAGTTTTTGCTGAATCCTAGAAGTGGCACAATAATTGGGGAATTTATCATTGCCAATTTTGTTATATGATCATGTCACATGTGCTATTCATTTTCAATTACCATGCACAGAATCTCACTTGACGAAGAAGAATGAACAGTCCCTTCTGGAAAAATAGTGATTTTTATACTGTACTTTTATAGGTTTCTTTGGACCGACACTGAACAGTTTTATCCACATTCTTATGTACTCCTACTATGGACTTTCTGTGTTTCCATCTATGCACAAGTATCTTTGGTGGAAGAAATACCTCACACAGGCTCAACTGGTATGTTGTCCCTTCTTTCAGCTTTTCTCCATGTGGCTTGTGGATGGGGAAAGGAAATAGAAATCTGTCTTAGAAGTCAGAGGGCTTTTTATGTTTGATGAGGCTGCCTATTTTTTTTTTCCCAAAAATGGCCTTTTAAGAATTAAACTTTGTGTATTAAAATGCCCTTTGTGCATGCAATTAGCTTGTAGTGGAAAGTTCCTTGCTTTGAAATAGATGAATACTTTTCAAATTAATGTGTAAGTTAAATCCTTTTTGTCTGAATAATTTTAGCTGTGACTTTTCCATGAGAAAATAATGGGCAATTTTACATACTAATATAATTTCAAATAAGATTGCTGGATGACAGGGCTGCTTCAGCATCTTCGTTTTATTCCCACATCATTCTGAGAATTCTAGGAGTTGATTTCTGAATTGATAAAGCTTCGCCGCAGTGTCTGTGTGGCACAGCCTGGCTTGCTCACAAAGACGTCCTCTCTGCCATCCCCAGGTGCAGTTTGTGCTCACCATCACGCACACCATGAGCGCTGTAGTGAAACCGTGTGGCTTCCCGTTTGGTTGTCTCATCTTCCAGTCGTCTTACATGCTGACATTAGTCATTCTCTTCTTAAATTTTTATGTTCAGGTACGTGGAATGTAAATATTTAGCAGTAAAATGTAATCGATCATGCACTTTCTTTTTCTTTCTGAGACAGAGTTTTGCTCTTGTTGCCCAGGATGGAGTGTGATGGCATGATCTCAGATCACCGCAACCTCCGCCTTTGGGTTCAAGCGATTCTCCTGCCTCAGCCTCCCAAGTAGCTGGGATTACAGGCCCATCTAATTTTTGTAGTTTTAGTAGAGACCGGGTTTCACCATGTTGGCTGGGCTGGATTGGAACTCCTGACCTCAGGTGATCCGCCCGCCTCGGTATCCCAAAGTGCTGGGATTTCAGGTAGGAGTGAACATGCCCAGCCTAGATCATGCACTTTTACATTATAGATTTAATTTTACTGATTACATAATATAGCACATGCTTGTTGATAAATTCAGCTAACAGATACACAAAGTGAAATTTGCATTCCTAACTCCTCTTTCCACACCTTCCTCCTCGAAGGGTAACCACAGTTAATAGTCTAGTGGGCATTTTAAAAACATTTTTCAATGCATGTACATAAAGTTCTATCAAAAATATCATTGGATTATGCATACAGTTCTCAATTTGCAGTATGTATTTGTACCATGCTACCAAAGTCTGACATCTGAACATTAAACATGTGTACAGTAAGACAGATCCAGGAAAGGTGAATGGAGCAAAGCGAGGACTTATTCACTGTTTTTGATTTACTGAATTTCATATTAAAAAACTGTTTCCTTATCAGCTACCCTGATGTTGTAGACTGTTTATTTGGAAAAAAAAATTCCTTTAAGGCAAACTAGGGTGGAAAGGTAACATTGACTTTTTCTTTATCCAGTGTCATTTTCTTTTTAATTAACAATTTAAATGGAAGACAACTTCAAAATGCAATTTCAAAGTCACTCTGTTGTATAAGAACGGAAAAGCTGTAACAGAGAACAGGCCTCAGGTGGTTGTAGATTTTAAATTGCTCCCTTTTGTAGGCTGGGGAAATGGAAAGCTTCATTTAAAAAAAAAAAAAAAGTACATTTATATTCAGAATGGTACTTTTGAAATTGTATTCAACTATATTTTCTTTTTCAGACAAGTAAGTACTTTGTTTTTTAGTTTGCATTTGCTGAAAGTTAGCCCATAGTGGTTTTATACAGTATGGAACAATGGGAACTGAATTTTGACAGCTTTTCAGATCTTGTATTTTTTTTTTTTAATTTGAAAATACATTATTGCTAAATATGCTAACAGTCATCTGAGCCTTGAGCAAGTCTTTTTTTAATGCATTTTAGGTTTTGGGGTACATGTGAAGAACATGTAAGATTGTTACATAGGTACACACATGGCAGTGTGGTTTGCTGCCTTCCTCCCCATCACCTGTGTCTGGCATTTCTCCCCATGGTATTCCTCCCCAACTCTCCCCAACCCCTGCTGTCCCTCCCATTTCCCCCCCACCCTGCCACAGACCCCAGTGTGCGATGCTCCCCTCCCTGTGTCCATGTATGCTTATTGTTCAACACCTGTCTATGAGTGAGAACATGTGGTGTTTGATTTTCTGTTCTTCTGTCAGTTTTCTGAGAATGATGGTTTCCAGGTTCATTCATGTCTCTACAAAGGACATGAACCCATTGTTTTTTATGGTTGCATAGTATTCCATGGTGTACATGTGCCACATTTTCCCTGTCCAGTCTATCATCGATGGGCATTTGGGTTGGTTCCAGGTCTTTGCTATTGTAAACAGTACCAAAGTGAACATTTGTGTTCATGTGTCCTTATAATAGAACGATTTATAATCCTTTGGGTATATACCCAGTAATGGGATTGCTGGGTCAAATGGAATTTCTATTGCTAGGTCCTTGAGGAATCGCCACACTGTCTTCCACAATGGTTGAACTAATTTACACTCCCATCAACAGTGTAAAAGTGTTCCTATTTCTCCACATCCTCTCCAGCATCTGTTGTCTCCAGATTTTTTAATGATCGCCATTCTAACTGGCATGAGATGTTATCTCAATGCAGTTTTGATTTGCATTTCTCTGATGACCAGTGATGATGAGCATTTTTTCATATGTTTGTTGGCCTCATGTATGTCTTCTTTTGTAAAGTGTCTGTTCATATCCTTCACCCACTTTTGAATGGGCTTGTTTTTTTCTTGTAAATCTTAGTTCTTTGTAGATTTCTAGATATTAGCCCTTTCTCAGATGGGTAGATTGCAAAAATTTTTTCCCAATCTGTTGGTTGCCAATTCACCCTACTGTTTCTTTTGCTGTGCAAAAGCTGTGGAGTTTGATTAGGTCCCATTTGTCTATTTTGGCTTTTGTTGCCAATGCATTTGGTGTTTTATTCATGAAGTCCTTGCCTACGCCTGTGTCCTGAATGGTTTTGCCTAGATTTTCTTCTAGGGTTTTTATGGTGTTAGGTCTTATGTTTAAGTCTTTAATCCATCTGAAGTTAATTTTAGTGTAAGGTGTCAGGAAGGGGTCCAGTTTCTGCTTTCTGCACATGGTTAGTCAGTTTTCGTAACACCATTTATTAAATAGGGAATCCTTTACCCATTGCTTGCTTTTGTCAGGTTTGTCAAAGATCAGATGGTTGTAGATGTGTGGCATTGCCTCTGAGGCCTCTGTTCTGTTCCATTGGTCTATATCTCTGTTTTGGTACCAGTACCATGCTGTTTTGATTACTGTAGCCTTGTGTATAGTTTGAAGTCAGGTAGTGTGATGCCTCCTGCTTTGTTCTTTTTGCTTAGAATTGACTTGGCTATACGGGCTCTTTTTTCATTCCATATAAAGTTTAAGGTGGTTTTTTCCAGTTCTGTGAAGAAGGTCATTGGTAGCATGATGGGGATAGCATCAAATCTGTAAATTACTTTGGGCAGTATGGCCATTTTCACAATATTGATTCTTCCTAAACTGTGAGCATGGAATGTTTCTCCATCTGTTTGTGTCCTCTCTTATTTTCTTCATCAGTGGTTTATAGTTCTCCTTGAAGAGGTCCTTTACATTCTTTGTTAATTGTATTCCTAGGTATTTTATTCTCTTTGTAGCAATTGTGAATGGCAGTTTGTTCTTGATTTGGCTCTCTTTCAGTCTGTTATTGGTGTATAGGAATGCTTGTGATTTTTACACGTTGATTTTATATCCTGAGACTTTGCTGAAGTTGCTTATCAGTTTCAGGAGATTTTGGGCTGAGACAGTGTTGTCTGCAAATAGAGACAATTTGACTTCCTCCTTTCCTAATTGAATACCCTTTATTTCCTTTTCTTCCCTGATTGCTCTGGCTAGAACTTCCAGTACTATATTGAATAGGAGTGGTGAGAGAGGGCATCTTTGTCTAGTGCCACATTTCAAATGGAATGCTTCCAGTTTTTGCCCATTCAGTATGATATTGGCTGTTCGTTTGCCGTAAAAGCTTTTATTATTTTGAGATATGTTCCATCAACACCTAGCTTATTGAGGGTTTTTAGCATAAAGAGCTGTTGAATTTTGTCAAAGGCCTTCTCTGCATCTATTAAGATAATCATGTGGTTTTTGTCTTTGGTTCTGTTTATATGGTGAATTATGTTTACAGAATTGTATATGTTAAACCAGCCTTGCATCCCTGGGATGAAGCCTACTTGATCGTGATGGATAAGCTTTGTGATGTGCTGTTGCAGTCGGCTTGCCAGTATTTTATTGAAGATTTTTGCATCAATGTTCATCATGGATATTGGCCTGAAGTTTTCTTTTCTTGAGTCTCTGCCATGTTTTGAAATCAGGATATTGGTCTCATAAAATGATTTGCGAAGGATTCCCTCTTTTTTGATTGTTTGGAATAGTTTCAGAAGGAATGCTCCTCTTTGTATGTCTGGTAGAATTCGGCAGTGAACCCATCTGGACCTGGGTGTTTCTTGGTTGGTAGGCTATTAATTGCTGCCTCAACTTCAGCCCTCATTATTGGTCTATTCGGAGTTTCAACTTCTTCCTGGTTTAGGCTTGGGAAGATGCAATTGTCTAGGAATTTATCCGTTTCTTCCAGCTTTACTAGTTTATGTGCATAGAGTTGTTTGTAATGATCTCTGATGATGGTTTGTATTTCTGTGGAATCTGGTAATATCCCCTTTATCGTTTTTTATTGCATCTATTTGATTATTCTCTTTTCTTTTTTATTAATCTGGCTAGTGGTCTATTTTGTTGATCTTTTCAAAAAACCAGCTCATGGATTTATTGATTTTTTGAAGGGTTTTTTGTGGCTCTATCTCCTTCAGTTCTGCTCTGATCTTAGTTATTTTTTGTTTTCTGCTAACTTTTTTGACTTGTTCCTCTAGCTCTTTCAATTTTGACAATAGGGTGTTGAGTTTAGATCTTTCCTTGCTTCTCATGTGGGCATTTATTGCTGTATATTTTCCTCTAAACACTGCTTTAAATGTGTCTCAGAGATTCTGGTATGTTGTGTCTTTGTTCTCATTGATTTCGAAGAACATCTTTATTTCTGCCTTTATTTCATTGTTTATCCAGTCAACATTCAAGAGCCAGTTGTTCTGTTTCCATGAAGCTGTGCGGTTCTGAGTTAGCTTCTGAATTCTGAGTTCTAACTTGATTGCACTGTGGTCTGAGAGACTGTTTGTTATGATTTCTGTTCTTTTGCATTTGCTTAGTGATTTCCTTCCAATTATGTGGCCAATTTTAGAGTAGGTGTGATGTGGTGCTGAGAAGAATGTATATTCTGTGGATTTGGGGTGGAGGGTTCTGTAAATGTCTGTTAGGTTTGCTTGTTCCAGGTCTGAGTTCAAGTCCTGGATATCCTTGTTAATTTTCTGTCTGGTTGATCTGTCTAATATTGACAATGGGGTGTTAAAGTCTCCCACTATTATTGTGTGGGAGTCTAAGTCTCTTTGTAAGTCATTAAGAACTTGCCTTATGAATCTGGGTGCTCCTGTATTGGGTGCATATATACTTAGGAACGTTAGCTCTTCTTGTTGCATTGATCCTTTTACCATTATGTAATGTCCTCCTTTGTCTCTTTTGATCTTTGTTGCT